CCCCAAAACCCCAAAACCCCAAAACCCCAAAACCCCTAGCAAATTAAACTAAATTAAATAATGAGTGACAAAGAAATATGGCTAAACCAATCAGAAGTATCAACTAACTACTTTTATGCGTTTAATATATCTAGGCTGCTAAAGTCAGACTTCAAAAAGAAGAGAATGCTAAATTAAAGCAAAAAATACAAGAATATGAAATAAGAATAAGAGATTTAGAGTTTGATGCCACCAAGCAAATACAAGAGCATCATAAGAAAGAAGCTGTTCTTAATAGTAAACTTCTAGATCTGGAGAGTCAACTCAATAAGCCTTCAGACTCAGCTTCATTAGAACACTTAGAGCTTGTAGAGGAATTAAGACTAAAGTTAGAAGCTTATGAAACTGAGTGCTCTTGCTTGAGGGAAAGTCAGCAGAGATCTATTCTGGAGCTAGATATTCTTAAATAATCAGAATAATGAATTAAGAAATAAGTTAGATGGTGGTATAGACATCTCAATCGAAAGTTTAAACGGAACTCAAAGTCCAATAAAGCTAAACTCGGATTCAAAATAAAGTTTTGAAGAAGGGACAAGTTATCAATACTGAAGATTCTGATAAAAGCTCTATCTCTGAGGACCAATCTGAAACTAATAATAGAATTAGCAGTCTTACATCGAACTCTTCAAAAAGAAACAAAAAAACAAAGAAAAATAAATATAGTAAGCGATCAATTTGTTATGGCTGGCTTTCTTTGGGGATAGTGTTTCTTTCATTTTGTAGTTAAACCTTCCATTCGAATTGTCTGCCTCGTTATCTAAAATTTTATTTGCAGGAATACTGAGATATAGGTAGAACCTCTTTTCTGTGGCAAATAGTGGCCTCAAAAGATTTTTAAAGTTAATTTTTGGTTTCTAGAAATCCAGAGAACTGGGTCTTTACTTTTATTCTTCAAACTGATGTAATTACATAAAAATAGTTGCAGAGTTACAAAATCAAATCCAGGAGACAAAGGATAGAGCTATTCAGAGTTTAGTTGAAAAGGAAAAATCATTTATGAAGGAACGTCAGGAATTTAAGAGAGTTCAGAATAAATTACTCAAAGAGATCAATTCGCTTAAAAATTCACTCCAAAATAATGAAAATGAGTTCCCAGTAGGAGGATCAGGGTACAACATGTTTGGTTCAGAAGAAAAGATATTACAAAACCAAATAAAAGAACTTAAAATCGAGAGAGATAACACTGTTAAAAAGCTAACACTTGATTTCCAAACCCTGATGGCTAAGTATGAAGACGATGTTTCATATTACAAAGACATGATGGAAAATATTCCTCGAAAATCAGTTGAGACTGTTGGGCCAGAGTTTATCCAAACCCAATCTTCTCAAAACCAGGTTTCTCTGAAAATTCTTGATGAGTTGAAAGACAACGAAGAGCATTACTTGAAGGAGCAGAAAATGTTTCAGAGAAAAATAACAGAACTAGAGGAAAAAGTTGAGGAGTATAAAAACATGGAAGAACCAAGAGAAAGCATGACACTCAGCATGAATGATTTTCTGAAGAAAGAATCGATGATTACCAAGCTACAGAAAGAAAATAAACAGCTTAACAAGAATATCTCAGATTTGGAACAAGATATTGAATTCAAAACAGATGAAATCTCAATCCTTGAAGAAGACCTCGCCAAAGAAAGCAATTTAGTAGCCCAATTGCATCAAAAAGTTGATGACCTGTCTTGTAAACTTACCAAATCAGAAAAAGAGTTGAAACAAAGCATGGAGGATCTGGAAAATGAAAGGATAGACTACAAAAACAGCGTGATTAATCTTGAAAAAGAGCTCACAAATACAAAAGATATATACGAAACAGAAATAAGCCAACTCAGAGTAAATGTAAAAACTAAAGAATCAGCATTAAAAAGTCTAAACGAACAGTTTGGAGAAGAAGATTTCGATAAATCTATCGACGGTATTGGAAGTATCTCAAGTAAACTCATCTTCATTTCTACATTAATCAAGAGTTTCACCGACTGGATAGCTCCCTTAATAAGTTTTCTCACTAAACCTTTTCATGTTGATTAGTAATTGCTAGATAAGCTGTAGAAAGCAAGCTTAACACTGAGTATAATTTTTAAAGTACTTGGATTTCCTAGATCTCTGGAATGCTCTCCAAATGATCTATTCTAATCTGGAAGGTACTCTAAATTGTATAATAGACCAGGAAATACTTCCTATGCTTTAGATAATAAGGATCTGTCTCGAGTATTTCAAATATAAAATTAAACTGCAATTTTAGTGCGATGTATTAAATGACTTATTTAGCATAACGATTGTTGATAGAGTGAAAGAATTTTTACGAAAAGGAAGAATAACAATTATGAATTTTTAATTTGTCTACCAAAATCTAATATTTTAACAATACTTTAGAATCAGACCTGTCAGGATCTTTGTTTGATGAACTAGGAGGAGAAAGTTCTACAAGGTCGATGTCCATCGTCCCAAAAGGATATAAAATCCACATTTGAAAACTCAAGAAAAAGCTAAAGCATATCGAAGATAAATGAAGAGGTTTTAAAGCTGAGGTTTCAAAATTAAAAGAAGACAAAGCTCAGCTAGAAAGTAAATTAGATATTCTTGAAAAGCAAGATGGAGACCATCAGAACAAGATTCAGGAGCTTGACAAAATGCATCAGAAGGAGATTAAATCACTACAAAATAGAGCTCGGGCTGCATTCGCTGAAATACAAAATTTAAAGAAAAAGAATGTAGTTACTTCTAATGTACTTCGCATAGATAACACTTTAGAACAAAGATAAAGAAGTTCATAAATTAGAAGCAAGAATTGCAGATCAGCAAACTATCATCGATGCTTTATAAATTCTCAAAATAAGATGAGCGAGGATGATCTAATGACTAGAAATCTGAAATGGGCTCAAGAGAATAATGAATTAACATGTCAATTAATGGAGGTCGAGAAGCAGTTGATCGAATCGAAGCTTCACATGGCAAATCTAGGTTGGAAATTAAAACTAAATATAAATTTTTGTCTTTTTGCTGATTCTATTTTCATTTAAAATTTAATATAGCTTCAATGAACGATCGTTTAAAGCATTCAAATAATGAGAAAAAGAAGAAGATCAAAGAGCTGAATTATTACCTGCATAAGTATAATATCGAAGCGCCAGCCGCTAGAAATGAAACAGCGGGTTCATCATAAAATTAAATCCAATCTCATTCCCAGTTGAAATACCATATCGGCTGCAACCTAAGTAACAAGGCGGAAAATTTATCTGAATAGAGTAGTCGAGTTGTACTAATGTTTCAAAAAAATACAATAGAGTTTATAGTTGCTTATTTCGCTTTATGAGCACTCATCATAGTTATTCAAATTTCAATTCCTAATAAAATGCTCGGGGTTTTGGGGTTTTGGGGTTTTGGGGTTTTGGGG